TTTTCATTGATTTAGAATGGTGATGATACCAGTAACACTCTCACTGAACTTGGTATTGCTTATCAAAATCTTCATGAATTTGATTTAGCTTTAAACTATCATTCTCGTGCTCTTAGTATAAGAAAACTAGCTCATACTATTGATCAAACATTAGTTGCAAGTAGTCTTATTGGAATAGCAAATGCTTATTGGGGTCAACAAAATTTAAGTGAAGCACTTAACTATGCTCAACAAGCAGTAACTTTGAATGAATCGATTGAATCTGGAAATGAATTGAACTTATCAACGAACTTAGCAATACTAGCAAATATTTATCATAGTTGTGGCAATGATTGTCTAGCACTTGAAGTAGCTACACGAGCCTTAGCTCTTCTTGAACGTAATGTACCATCTGACTCACCTATGGTGGCTTCATTTCTGAATAATTTGGGAACAATTCAGTTTGGTGCAGGATTATTAGCAGATGCTAAGCTAAGTTTTGTTAGAGCACTGACTATCTGTGAAAAAAGTATTCCAGAAGAACATCCACAACGGCATGCAATTCAAAACAACATTGCACGAATTACTGAAATGGAAGAATACAATCATCAGAACTTGTATTCTCGCTTGTGGAAGTTTTCATTAAGAACTTTACTTTCATAGAGAGAAAGCAGTTGTTGAAATTGGGAAAATAAGAATCCTTTTCGCTTTTGTTTTAATGCTGACAAAATTTCAGACTATGCGTCACAGGTACATTAATTAATATTGGTTGTCTTTTTTTTTTGAAGTCATTGATATTTCTATTTGAATATATATTTTGATATATATTTTGTTTACAACAGATCTATAAAAAGAACAGAGAAAAAAGTAAGAACGTAACTCAATGAGAGCAACATTTAAGAAAAAAAACAATCATTAAATGAAAATCAGAGAAAGAAACAAAAAACAATTTACGTTGTTAACGATTCTTTGATTTGTTTGACAGAAAAAAAAAACAGATAATTACTAATGGAAGATACACAAGCTGTCAGTCGATGAGTGCTACAAAGCATCGATCTAAGTTAACCGACCGGTTTATTAAATTGACAATTGCATATCTATTACTGACACCTTGATCTATCGAAAAGTTACATTCCAAATGGTTGATCCACGACATCGATATCCTTAAAAGGTTCATCCATAACGAAATTCTATGAATTCTAGTGAGTAAAACTCGTAGTATCGAGCGGTCGATATACCGACTTCTAGAGTACTTTTTCAAACTTTACAAAGTTATTGTTTTCTGTACGAATTTTTCCAGCTTTGCCGTCTATCAGGAATTATTGCAGAAAACAAAACTAGAACATATGAAAACACGATTAAGAAACTTGTTTAGATTCAATAAACTAAGTATAACGAATTAATTTTAGATAAATTGATACTTCTTCATGTAATATATTTTAAATTCAATTTTTTTCCTGCATTCTCTTCTCAGTTATATCTTTGATTAATGATTTCATATGAATGATAAACGAAGCAGATCTGTCTATTATGGATTTCGTTTACCAAATAGAGGATACATGTTTAAACGACAACTACATTATAATTTATTTGAATAAAGAAAAGATCTTGAGAAAAAATTTATTTACAATAAAAATAAATATCATGTAGCTGATCTATTTAAGATTAGGATATTTAATTATTCCAACAGTTTTGAAAGCAAAAAAGAGCAGACTAGCAATAAGAAATTATTTCCATTAATCAGCTGTTTTCTATCCAGTATACGAAAATTAATCACGCTTCAAGAGTTACACTATTATAGAGAATTCAAAATCTAATCATTCATTATGAATGCTTTTTGCATCCTACATGTGCACATATTTCTGTAATGACTCTATATCCGAATAAGTAATATTTTAACTTCATACCTTCAGAGTTCGTGAAATTTATTCAATAATATCATTAAATAAAAGTTGAAAATGACGTGAACATCGCATGTCGAATAAACTTTAAGCAATAAAGACTAAACTAAACAATCGAAACATTTTTATTTCAATGGCTTAGTTTTATCTCAGCGGACATACGAAATTTCGATGAACTTGTAATCATCAAAATTACATCAAGTAATCAAAACCATGTTTCCGACAACTCAACTTCTTTCAAGTATCGGAAGCTCTCATGGTTTTGGAGTCATCTATATATTTTCTTGAAGAGTTGAAAATATATGAACCATAGGATAACAAATTCAAGGCTGTCGATATTTCATGAATACTGAATTCATTCAAATTCGAATGTAACAAGAAAATTTTTTTTTTCAACTTTAGCCACTTCTGGCATTCATCATTCACTTTTTGAATCTTTACCTGTGTAGACAACAAAGCACGAAATAAAACCAAGCTATATTTTGATAATGTCTCAGTTTTTCAGAATGTAAAACAATCATTATTATTTGATAAACACTTCGAATTTTTCTGTTCGATATTATTTATGTGTTTCAATAAATAAGTTATATCATGGTATATAACTGTTTCATTGTAATACATGGGCTTTGTTATTAATCGAAAAACAGGTAAGCGTTATGTGCGTCATGAAATGTTTGTTTTTGTTTTGAATGTCTTCGAGAAAGCTATGCGGTTATATATTTTTTTTGCTTTCATTGTTTATTAGCACAAATAATTGAATTTTGTAAAAGCATGTCTACATCATGAGGTCGTCGTCAAACATGGGTACTCTTTTTGATGTAAATAATTGAACTTTATTCTACATACAATGAACACAAAACTGAGTACATACTAAAACATGTTTATTTTTTCAAATGACTATTAACTTATTTTGGCTTTTACAAAAACCGTCAAATTTCTAATACTCATCTGATTTTTGTGGCACATGTACTTTTATTGAAGTGATATTAATAAATAGCAATAGACTCCTTAAAACTAACTGTTATATTACTAATTAACGAAGAAAATTAATTGAATATATTAATTTGAATTTATATCATGGAAAACAAGTCTGTCATTCATACTTTATTGATAAAATAAAAATGTCCAATCAATAAAAACAAAAAACTCACATGTTGCTTACTTGTAGATATGACTAGATATGAATTGATAAGACGAAAAATTATTTTATCCAGGACGAAGAAATATTGAATAGAAGACTTGCGTGACTAACTCATATTGAAGTGTTACTAGATATTAGCACCAATACAACATCGATTCATTGATAATTATTTGTTATCCATTCAATGGATACATTTAAGACTCGATATTGAATATTCATTCATCTGAAATCATTATGAAATATTGATCAATCGAAAAAATATTTTGTTTGTCCATGTTGATCTTCATTATAAATTTATTTCGAATTCCATTGTTTTACTTTCGACAATCAATGATGATACCCAACTATACACATAAATTCATCTAGTAGTTGCATCTTCTCACAAATATCACAACGAAGAACTTATCTTTATTTCATTATTCAATGATAAACAACTGATCAAGAATATACATCAATTCAATATAGTTGAAACCTTATCTATTATAAATTTCCAAGCACTTATCGATATTCGATTTCCATACTAATTCAAATTTTTTTGAGTATATGAAGAGTGATTAATTTAAGGTTACCGAAATTTTCAAAACAATAATTACAACAGTATAAAATATTTGAATCACATAGGACGATCGTTAAACTAGTCGAAAATTAAAAAGTGATTGTCTTTCAAATCATCGTTAATTTGCCAGTGCATATCACCTTTATCACTGCCATTATTTTATCATTGAATGCATAAATGCTGTTATTTGATAACTACCCTTGTATCTAATGATGTAGAATTGATAATTTCTGATAATACTTGTTCATTGCTTGTAAATTAAATCACGCTGATTTCTTTGGGTGAAATATTTTTTTGTAATTCGAATACATTTCATTGTTTTTTTCTTTAAACTATTTTCAATGACATGAGAGCGTAGTTACTTTCTTTGTTTTGTTCTGTACATTAAAAATGATATGACATTATTGTCACAACAGAAAGAAAGAAGCTTTTATTAAAAGAGTTCTTTGACATAGAAGACATCATTTTTATTTACTTTTATTGTATATCCCCATTCTAATATATAACTAACAGATAGCAAAGTCAGTAATCGTTTTATGTATTTGATGCTCTTAATCATAAGGTCTATTCGAATACTCATTTCTTAAAATGATTGGTTTGTCTGCAAGACTTCACCATACAGCGTTTTTTTTTTTGAATACATATTAAAAGGTACTGTTTATAAAGATTTTGTCCTTCCTATTCTGTCTCATTGCAGTGTATGAGTGTAACAAATTTGTCTGTCTTTTTGAGTATGAGACGAGGCAAACAATGTTTTGTTTTGTTTATGTCTGTATGATTACAGTAGTCAATGTTTTACTGGTAATCATTCTTATAAAAGAAAGAACGAAAAAAGTTCTATCCAGGTAAAATGAAGTTCAAGAAAAAAGTAATCAATCAACTAAAAAGGAAAGAGAAAGAAGCTAAAAATAACCTTGGTAATTGATTGAAAACTTGAAGATACAATATTCTTTATATGGTTATCATAGACATAGAACAGAAAAAAAAGAGAATGATGACCTGTTGAGACAAGATATCAATTTTCAAAGAAAAAAAAAACATACTATTTTTTTAATCAAAAGATAACTATTTTCTACTTGAATGATCAAATGTTTATAAACATATATGATTCAATCTCCTGTCGATACGCAACATAAACATGTTTTTCAAAACTGAAAATACGAAATTTTCATCGAAAAATAGGCAGTGAGTTGTTTTCTATTAAAAGGCGTGATGACCTATATTTTTGTATTGTATTTGCACACTTTTTCGTTGACAAATTTAGTCATGTAGCAACCTAAAACATTTACCGACGTCATTGCCCATCGAAACCAATCACAACGATGCTTTTATATGAGACAAAATTTGTATTGTTCCTTTTAAATGGTATATAAAAGCAACGAAATAAAAATTTTCTTTCATTCCTTTTTTCGCACAAGTGAAAAGTGTCCAAGAAACGACTTTACATTAAATCTCTATCAAACATGACAATTATTGGTGATCAATATGAGTAAGTGAAACGTAGAATGTGGTCAAATAAGAAAGAAAATTCATTCTATCAAAAAACAAAATTGTGAACTCCTGTGCCTCACGTAGGCCTAAGGAAATTGAGATTTTCTCATCGAAGTTTTGTCTAATTACTCTAAAAAATCCGAGTTGACTAAGAGTAATCGGTCTTACTGGACTTTTTGCAAAACTCATGTAAACTGTCTTTCGAAAGGAATGTATACGAGTTTTAAAACTTCTTTAATTCTGCAATCATTTTTTTCAAGCATCGCTATTACCAATAGTGTTCTTGGTTACCTAACAGAAATATATACACATTATTTGCACTTGAACTGTCGAAAATCATAATGTGGTAAACTCTAGTTTCATTCAAAACCTTTTCTTTTCGAAAACTGTTAGTATACGGACTGTGATTATAAGTAACTTCATCGAGGTATTCAGAAATGTATGAATGAAATGCCTGCTAATCCATGATTAGATGCTTCGACTGTCGTATCTAATACTTTCCTACAAAAATAACTGACTATGAGTGGAAGCTTTTCCCGTTGGTCATGGTAACATTAGGATATTAAGAGAAATA